CTGAATTGATTTATTATATCTAGGAGTCTTTCAATGGAGGTTTGAGGGTCTTCTATGTAGAGAATCACGTCAGCTGCAAATAACGATAATTTAACTTCCTCTTCCTATCTTTACCCCTTTTATTTCTCTCTTGTCTTATTGCTCTGGCTAGTATTTCCAGTACTATGTTAAATGGGAGCAGTGATAAGGGACATCCTTGTCTTGTGCCTGATTTTAAGTTAAAGGCCTTCAGTTTTTGGCCATTTAATATGATGCTGGCTGTAGGTTTGTCATAGATAGCCTTTATCATATGAGGTAAAGACCATCTATTCCAATTTTTTGTAAGGTTCTTACCATGAATGAGTGCTGGACCTTATCAAAAGCTTTTCTGCATCTATAGAGATGATCATGTGATTCTTACTTTTGGCTTTATTGATATAGTGGATTACATTTATTTACTTATGTATGTTGAACCATCCTTGAATGCCTGGGATGAATCCCACTTGGTCATGGTGTATAATCTTCTTGATGATTTGCTGCATCCTGTTGGCCAATACTTTATTGAGGATTTTTAAATCTGTGTTCTATAGGGAGATTGGCCTGTAGTTCTCTTTGTTAGTTAGGTCTTTCTCAGCTTTTGTTACTAGAGTACTATTTGCTTCCAGGAATGATTTAGGAAGAATTCCTTCCCTTTCAATTTAATTGAAGAGTTTGAGGCTTGACAGCATTAAGTCTTCTTTGTAATTCTTGTAGAATTCCACAGTGAATCTGTCAGGGCCTGGGTTCTTCTTTGTAGGTAAGGACTTAATTACATTTTCAATTTCATTAATAGAAATTGGGTTATTCAGCAGTTTTACATCTTCTTGACCCAGCTTTGGTACTTCATATGTTTCTAGGAATCTGTCCATTTCTTCTGTGTTATCGAACCTATAAGAGTAGAAGTTTTTGAAATAGGTGTTGGTGATCTTCTTTATTTCCACAGAGTCTATACTGATTTTGCTTTTTCATTCCTTATTGCATGAATTTGAGATGTTTCTTTCCTCTTTTTTAATAAGGATGGCTAGGCATTTATCAATTTTATTTATTCTTTCAAGGAACCAACTCTTCGATTCATTGACTTTTTTGGATTGTTTTCTTAGTCTCTATTGTATTAATTTCTGCTCTTATTTTTATAATTTCCTCCCTTCTTTTGGCTTTGGGCTTGACTTGCTCTTCTTTTCCTAGATGTTTGAAGTGTAGCAACAGGTTGTTTATTTGTATTCACTCTGCTTTCCTGATGTGGGAACTCAGTGCAATAAATTTTCCTCTGAGGGCTGCTTTCATTGCATCCCATGGATTCGGTAAGTTGTATTTTTATTTTTTATTTTTTTGCTTGTAGGTATTGTTTAATTTCTTCTTTAATTTCCTATGTAACCCACTGATTGCTCAAGAGTGTATTATTCAATTTCCATGTGTTTGTGGGGTTTTTGCAGTTTCTTTTATCATTAATTTCCAGTTTCATGGCGCTACGATCTGATAACATGCATGGAATAATTTCAATTCTTTTGCACTGACTTAAATATATTCTGTGAGCTAGTATATGGTCTATTTTAGAGAATGTCCCATGTGCTGCTGAGAAGAATATATATTCTGATGTTGTTGGATGAAACACTCTGTATATGTCTACCAAGTCCATTTGTTCACAGGTGTGATTCACTGCTGTTATTTCTTTGTTGATTTTCTGTCTGGTTGATCTGTCCCTTGGTGTCAATGGTATGTTAAGGTCTCCTGTTATAATTGTGTTATTGCTAATTTGATTTTTCATTTCTATAAATACTTACTTTGTATAGCTGGGTGCTCTGGAGCTTGGTGCATATATATTTAAGATAGTTATCTCTTCCTCTTTAAGTTTTCCCCTAACCAGATGTAGTGACCTTCTTTATCTCTTAGGATCATTCTTGGTTTAAAGTTCACATTATCTGCTAACAAAATAGCTACCCCTGCTTTTTTTTTTTTTCAGTTCCTCTTGCATGAAGTATTGTTTTCCATCCTTTGACTTTCAGTCTGTGAGTTTCCTTTTGGGTTAGGTTTGATGTTGTTTCTTGATCCATTCTGCCATTCTGTTTCTTTTAATTGGTGAATTGAGACCATTTACATAGATGGTTATAACTGTTATATACTGGCTTATTTTTGACATATTATCTTTCTGCTGTTGCATCTTAATCTTTCCAATCTGTTTAGTTGTCTACCTTGCTTAGTGGTTTTTTCCTATGTGTATCTAGACTGTCTTTCAGTATTCTTTGCAGGGTTGGCTTGGTGTTCATGAAATTCTTCAGCTGTTCTTTGTCATGGAAGTATCTTATTTCTCCATCCATTTTGAAGGACAGTTTTTCAGGGTTCATCAGTCTAGGTTGAAAATCATTTTCCTTTAGGATCTGAAATACTTCACTCCATGCTCTTCTTGACTTCACTGTTTGTGTTGAGAAGTCTGCTGTGATTCTGATAGGCTTTCCTTTATAGGTGATCTGTCTTTTCTCTCTGACAGTTTTTAGTATTCTATTCTTATGTTGGATTTCTGGAATGGTGATTATTATATGCCTGGATGTAGTTTTATTTTGGTTATGGCTATTTGGAGTTCTATATGCTTCACTAATCCTAATGTCAGTTTCCATTCTCATATTTGGGAAATTTTCAGCTATGACTTTTGTGAATAGCCTTTTGATATCATTTGTGTTGTTCCTTTCTTTTGCATTTATCAGTATTAATCTTACATTGTTTTTCTTTGCATCATCTTACAGCTGTTGAATTATTTCTTGATTCCTTGTTTTTTTTAAAAAGATCTTTCCTGCAGGGGGAGAACCAGCAGCAGCTCCTGAGATCCATGCCATGTTGGAACTTATGATGCTGGGAAGCCAAGCAAGCACCTCCCCTTGCTGGTAAGTGGTGACAGTGTGGCAGACTGCAGCCCTTCCAGGGTGAGAACCAGCAGCAGCTCCTGAGATCCACACTATGTTGGAACTTAGGACCCTGGGAAGCCAAGCAAGCACCTTCCCTCCCTGGTAAGCAGTGGCAGTGTGGCAGACTGCAGCCCTTCCAGGGGGAGAACCAGCAGTGTCACCTGAGATCTGCACCATGTTAGAACTTAGGACGCTGTGAAACCAAACAACCAGCCTGCCTCCCTGCTAAGCAATAGTGAACCTACTGATGCATGGCCTAGAGTCAAATATCCCACTTCCCCATCCCCCTTCTCCCCCCCCCCCCCCGCCACCCATTAGCAAATGAGAACCGGAAATCTGGGCATTTCCTGGGAGGTTGACCATAGCAAGTAAGGTGACTTCCTTCTACTATCTCTTTGAAGGCAATTATTTTTATTACTGTTTTGATCTTTTCTGATTAATGGTACAGCTCTATTCAATATTCTGTTTTGATAAGTTCTATAGTGTTCTATATTTCATTTTGATATACGTGATTGAAAGAACAACTATTATAAATATAACAAAATATACTGATACCTATTACTGTTATCCCAGTAACCTGCTGTGAAGTTCTGTACCATTTTCACTGTACGATCTTAGTTGGCTTTATTCTGTCTTGTTCTGTTGTATACTTTCAAAATTAAAAAAAAAAAAGATCTTTCCTTTCCTGTTCACTAGCTGCAATCTTGTCTTTGAGGTCTGAAATTCTATCTTTACTTTCGTTGAGTCGGTTTTGACAACTTTCAATGGAATTTTTGATTTCCTGTATAACTCTTTGAATCTGCTTCATGTATTCTGTTTGTTTCTTAAATTGTTCATCCAGGGATTCTATCTTTTTGTATTGTTCCTCTAATTCTTTAACTGGGCCTTCTTTAGATGTGTTCAGCATCTCTTTCATTACTTTTATCATTTCTTCTTTTACCTGGGAGATTATTTCTATTTTGAATTCCTTTAAAGCTTCCCAGAAATTGCTTCTTTATTTCAGTTGCTATTATTACAGGTATATCAGGTGTATGGCATAAATTTTCTGCTATGTACATGGCTCCTAGGCTTTCTTGGAGGTTTGAGATTGCATTTTTGTCTTTTGTTTTGTCATTTTCCTATGTTTCTGTGTTCCAAGTGTTTTTCTAAGGCTTGGAAAACTGGATGTGTTGCAAATTGTCTCCTATGCCCTAGGCTCCTGGGACTGAATGGAGGTTGCTGAGCGTGGTCCAGTCAGGCCCTCAGGCCCTCCCATGCTGCCTTCAGTGTTCAAGGTAGCTGGGCAGGCACCTTCCCACTGTGGATGATGGGCTAAAGCTCTCCCTGGGCAAAGACCAATGCCCTGGAACTCACTTCACCTGCTCTCAACTCCCATAATTGAAGAAGGTTGCTGGGGGTAATCTACTCAGGCTGCAAAACCTCCCAAGGCTAGTCTAGTGTGGCTGGGCTCTGAGCAGGTCCTTGAGATCTGTGAGCAATGATCTTAACACAATGCCCCAGGCTTGGGATGGCATGTGGACTCACCCCAGGTACCAGCTGAGTTTCCCGGTTCCCAGTTCCAGAGAAGGTTGCTGGGCATGTCCTGGGCAGTCCTGAAACCTGCCAGGCAAGTGCAACCTAGTGTGGCTGGGCTCTGGGCGGGCCGTGAGCTCTAGGAGCAATGATCCTAACATAGTCTCCTGGGCTCTGGATGGAGAGCAGACTCACCCCAGCCGCCAGCTGAGTTTCTGGGTTCCAGGTTCCAGAGAAGGTCACTGGGCATGTCCTGGGCAAGCCTAAAACATGCCAAGCAAGCACAGCCTAGTGTGGCTGGGCTCTGGGCGGGTCCTTGAACTCTGGGAGCGATGATCTTAACACAGTCTCCCGGGCTTTGGATGGGGAGCGGACTCACCCCAGCCACCAGCTGAATTTCCTGGTTCCTGGTTGCAATTTCTTAATTGTCAAATATCATTAAATTTCTAATATGTCATAAATGTCCTATATTGCACTAGGTTTGTGTTGAATAAAGAATCCAACTAACTTCCATCATTTTAATTGGTTAATATATCTCTAAGACTCCCTTAATCTACAGATTCTGCCTCCAACTCAACTTTTTACTTATGATTTATTTTTTTATTTAAAAAAAGTAAAAATGATGATACAGAATTTCAAAACAAAATAATAGAGGATTAACACTGGTTAATATATTGCATATTGTTATCTTTAATGTACAGTTTACTTGTTAAATACAGCGGGTTATTCATTCTATAAGACTACATTTTGGTAATAGAATTTCTATGGTTTATATCCTCTGTATTTCCTATGGTTGGATCTAGAATATTGCCATATTAAGGAAAAATAACCTTTGACAAGTAATTATTTTCTCATTTATATTCTCATCTAATAGAGAGATATTTATTACATAGCTACTAAAAGACAAGACATTAAACATGCAGTAGTAAAACAAGATAATCCTCCTAATTTGTCTAGTATTTAGTAAGTTAGCCCAGACTTCAACAGTTATCAATATAAATATTAAATTACCTCAGATATACATATATATAGAATATATAAAAAGAAAATAAAGGACCTTACTTTTTCAATTTGTCAGTTATTTTTCCTCCTAGATAGTATTTCATTGCATGACTACATGACATTTCCTTTTTTAGCTTTTCTTCCATTGATAGGCTCTTAAATTTCCCAGTATCTTTTGCTGCTGAAGATTATGCTATTAAGAACACAACAGTATGACAGCTTTGTTTGGCAGTGTATTTTAAGACAGATTTTAACATTTTTATTTATTTTTAGTGTAATTACACTGAGGTCAGATAAATGGTCAAAAGCAGTTGACTCCTCTCTCTGAAATTTGATGAACCTTTCTTTGCTCTTATTATGTGGTGACTTTTGAAGATGACACACAGGTATTTGATTTAAATGTTTTATTCGCTGGGTATACAAGTTTCCCATGTTGCATTAGATCAGACAGACAGAAGATTATGGAACTGGAGCCAAGTCTGGCCTGATGCTTGCTTTTGTAAAGTTAAGCTTGAACACAGGCATACTAGTGAATTTAGCTGATTCTCATAGAAAACAGTCTGCCTTCCCTTCATTAGATGAAGCTTTTAATTATATGATTTAAAACTTTGTATTCTATCCTAATTTTAAATTTGTTTAATCTATGTTCCCAATACTGGTATGATTATTTCATACTTCTTCACTTGGGGATATTCCCATTTCTTCTCATAATTCTGACCAATTTTGTTCATATTTTTGGGCCTGGATATCCAAGACCCTTGCTCTTGCCATTCTGCTGTCTTCAGCCACCCACTTTCACGTAGACTTCTTTTAGACATGAGCCATTCATCATTCCCTGTGGCTCCACCTCTAAGAGACAAATGCCAAGCTTTTGAGTGCTTCTCTTTCATCTGACTAGAGAAAAGTATTCAGTAAATGGGAGCTGTCAGCAAAAGACAAACTAGAACATTTCTATGTTCTGCTGGCTAGCTGCTGGCTCTATCTGCAAGCCCAGCCTCCCTCTGACTCCAAACAAATTCTCTCCCTTCTCAAAAAAGATATCTAGTGCTGGCTAGAAGCATGACCATAAAGTCACGAAATGTCAGCGATGTGCTCCACACCGAGCAGAGCTAGCACATCTGGAGAGTGACTGCTGGGATTACCGGAGGGAAGACAATCAGCCACAAATCAGCACATGAGCTTTTTACAGTTGCCAGAGACAAAGCTGGTCTTGGGAAAGACAAGTAAGTCCCACTACAGATGTCGTTGCCTCGCTGAGGACACCAGGAGTGACCCAAATGACTTCGTGGATGATGTGACTCTACTTTGTCCTACTCTTCTCAGGCAGGAAATATATGGATTGGAATCTGTCAAAAATAGGTTAAAAAGTGCATTTTATTTTATGTCAACTATGGTATATAAAATGTGTATACTGCAAATGCTGTGTGCCAGGCAATGAGCAAGCCCGTTACATGCTTTATCTCATTCAAATCTCACAAAAGTTCCCATTCCCAATGAGTAAACTGAGTTCACACAGCCAGTAACTGAGTTACATGATGAGAACAAGTCCCGTACTACCTTCTTTTCAAAAGTGAAGACACTCAGACCTGGAAGAAGGATCACATCAGAGCACAAAGAACTACAGAGCCCAGGGAGTCACCTTGGGAAAGGTACAACCCTTCTGGCAGTGGAAAGAGGAGGAGCAAGAGAACCTACACTACGGTTTTCTTTCTTACTTACTTACTTATTTAGTTACTTGCTTACTTACTTACTTACCTGAGTACTTGTCAGTATTCTGACTGTGTTACACAGTCCATCCTTTTAAAAACAGTCCTGAGGAGGTATTTGATTCTACAGATGAGGAGACTAAGCCTCATAACTTAGCCAGATTGCACAGTTAACCTTTAGGTTAGAACCAGAGTCTGAACTCATCTCACTCTAATTACCTTCCTTTCTACCATGCCATTTCTGAGAAATTACATCCACATGTTAGGGGGAAGGAGGGGGCTTACGTAATCTTTAGGGAGAATACGTTCTTTTTTTTTTTTTTTTATTGGTACCGGGGATCGAACTCATGATTGCCTGCTTGCAAGGCAGGTGCTTATGCTGCTGAGCTAAATCCCCAGCCCGAGAATACGTTCTTATAGAGGATCTGTGGAAAGACTGGCAGCATTTCAATGAGTGGAGATTGGATGGGTGTTACTCTAGACAAGAGACAGCAAAAGCAAAGGCAGAAAAGCTCAGGATGACTGTGGAACAGAGATCCATGGTTGGCATAAGCTTGAGGTACAGGTGGCAGAGAGGAGGCTGGGAACGTGGGCTAACAACTTAAGGAGGACCTTCCCAGGCTTGAACAATATTGATTTCTCTTGGTTTTGGAAGCTGGGAAATCCAGTATCAAGGTGCCAACTGAATTCAGTTCCAGGCAAGGGCTTTCTTCCCTGCACACAGACAACCTCAGTATACCCTTGCCTGGTAGAGATACTGCTACAGTGCCTCTTCTTTTTCTTATAAAGGTATTAATCCCACCATGGGGTCTCTACCATCACAGCCTCACTGAAACCCTAATTTCTGATACCATCACATTAGGAGTTAGAGCCTCAACATCTGAGTTTCCTGGGGATGCCAGGGAACATGGTGAGCATTCAACTGCTAAGAGATGCTAATATAGTACTAGCAATACAATGTGGATGAGGAGCCTGCAATATTATGCTGAGTGAAAGAAGACATGAAAGGTCACACGGTATACTATTCCAGTTTTATGAAGTGTCTAGAATAGGCAAATCCACAGAGGCAAAAAACAGATTCATGATTATCAGGAACAGGAGGCGGGAGAGATAGGGAGGAACTGTTTAATGTGGGTACTGGATTTCCTTTTGGGATGATGAAAATGTTCTAGAAATAGTGGTGATAGTTATATGACCTCTCTAAATGTAGTATCACTGGATTACACACTTTAAAATGGCTAAAAGGGTTTATGTTACATGTATTTTACCACAAAAATTACTATTTATCTTTTTAAAAAGGTGACTGTGGCCCCAGTGTGGTGGCGCACACCTGTAATCCCAGCACATGGAAGGCTGAGGCAGGAGATCACCACAAGTTCAAGGCCAGTATGGGTTACATAGTGAAACGCCATCTCAAAAAAAAGAAAAAAAAAAAAAAGGTGACTACTCTAGAAAAACTTTTTGTAACTGTGTACAAGAGGACATATTTATAATTACTATTTTAGTTACTTTCTTATTCCTGGGATGCAATCCCCAATGACTACAATTTAGAGGAGGAAAGGTTTATTTCCTCTTATATTTCCAGTCTGTGGTCAGACAGAGGGCAGAAACGGCCTGGTGGAAGGGCACGGGTAGAGGAAAGTTGCTCACACCTTGGTAGCAAAGAAAAGGGAGGGGAAGTGGAGGGAGACACAGCCTTCCAGGTCACGCCAGGGCTGCATCACCTCCCACAGCTCTCAGCTTCCAGCAGCCACTGAACACAGCAGGGATCTACTCCGAAGCAGCATCCCCACAACCCTATAACCCTCCAAAAGCCTCTCGTGAGTGCAACAGTTTTAGGGGACACTCCAGACCCAAACTACAACAATTATGAAGTTTAGCTAATAGGAGAAAAGAAGAAATCTATTTCTCTCAGAAGGATAACAAATAAGCAAATTGTGGTTCATTCTTACTCTGTAATACTAAACAACAGTATGTGCATGTTCATAGTATATGAACCCTTAGCCAAAGGTTGGAAACTGTCCAATTACCCATCAGTTGATGAATGGATAAACAAAGTGTGGTAAATCCACCGCCCCACGCCCATCAAGTCTACCCTCCTTTTCCACTCTCCTCCTTTCTCCCCCCTCCACTAAGCACAAGGAGTATGAACATACCCCTGCTTCTCCAAGCTCTGTCTGTTCTCTGCTCCCTGAAAAGTCCTCCCTAGCCACCCCTCAGGCCCAGTGGAGCACACCCCAATGGTGAAGTCCTCCATGGAATGGGCCTGGGAACAGCCTGTGCAGAAAGGGACATTGGGACAGTGAATTCTGGAGTCCTGAGTTTCCAGAGGTCTAGAGGGCTGTTACCCTGTGGAGAGAGGCTTGGACAGAGAACAGTTAAACAGAGCTCTCTGTGTCTTAGAACTCAGGGCAAACCCTGGGTGCTCAGATGCATACTTGGTACTGGATTTAATTAGCCATGGTCCATTGCCCCCAGAAGTTTACAACCTAGGCAATATTATAAGACTTGGAATCTCAGCATGTCAGCCCTGTTGAACATCAGTGAACTTAATGTACTCCCTCTACAGGGCAGATTTTGCAGGCTGATTCAAGGAGCCAGAAATGATGCAGACAGGCTTACAATAGCTGCTAGTTAGTGCCACATGTTGTGCTCCAGCAGTGACCCTTGAGCAGAATTCTGAAAGCTGCACTCCCATGTGGCGCTCAATGGTTACAGCAGTTTTATTTCTGGAAGCAGCCATGTCATTTCTGCCAACACCCAAGCCACCAGTTTGTCACACTCTCTCATATTCCCTGGGTAAAAGTGGCTGAAGCTGAATGATAGGGTCACTCTTGGGCCTTCAGCTTTCTGTGAATCCTCTCCCTATTTACAGAATGGCTTTTTCTCTGCAGCTTCCCATCAGTAAGGACCAACTAGGGCTTCGTGCATCAGAAGTACCCACAGTTGGCCCAATTCTCTGCCCACCCCAAGTCCTCACAAGTTTGGAGAAGGCTTCAAATTGCTTGGTTCCCTCTCTCAAGCATACATATTTGCAAAGACACTGGTCAAGAAAACAAGCAGGATCTCTATATTATTGTAGAGGTATTGAGATATAATACATCATTGAAATATAATAGATTCTACCTCCCTGAATGTCCATAACCCCAAAGTTATAGACAGACATATACTGCATTTTCAGTTCTGCCATCTATAATTATAACCCCTCCCTCACGTATTCCACTGCATTTTACAAAATGCTTTCACACAAATTATTTCTTCTCTGATATGGTTTTTCTAAAATCAGACATTTAGTTGATTAAATATCCTTTATCATAAAATGTAATGCTATAGATTTCTACCTACTGATTTATCTGGACATCAAAATATACTTTCATGGTCATTCTGTTTTAAATGTTTACTTTTGATATGGTTTCTTAATTTATAAATATTTAAATTTTCAATATTTTTAAACTTTCCTTTCCAGTTTCATTTTCATTATCACTTCTCATATCCCTCCTCTTTTCTCCCGAGTTCACTTTAAGAACTTCATTTGAAATGGTTCAGAGGTCTGTGAATGGCAAATTTTCTCAGCTTTTACTTAAAATTGTCTTTTTTCCCTCACCAATGAAATTTTAACTATGTGTAGAATTCTAAATTGACAGTTACTTTTCTCAGCACTTACAAGATATTTATCTTCCTGCCTCCTAACGATAAGTTGCCTAGAGTTTTTTGCTGCCATCAAGAAGTAAGTAATCCATCTCATTAGATATTATAAAGCCGGACAAAACAGTGGAGAACAAGACCAATAAAACTTAGGCATTGTGAACATTACAGGACTTCCAAAGGAGACAATAGTCAAACCAGAATGGGCATCTTTGTGAATCTTATTGCCTTCAAATTAGTTGCCTATACCCTCAAACTTGATACTATCGCACAGAATGGAACAGAGTCTAATCAGTCAAAACAAGATCTTGTAGTTATGTATTATGTGTAACCTTACACTGCTTTGTTTTGTTTTGTGTTTTTCTCTTTTTCCTCTTAAATAAAAAAAAAAAAAAAAAAAAAAAAAAAAAGAAGTAAGTAATCTATTCTTTCTTCTGGTTGTGGTATTTAAGGTTAATCTTTGATGTTCTGCATTTTGACTATGAAGTATCTAGGTGGTGTGTGTGTGTGTGTGTGTGGTGTGCGTGCGTGTGGTGTGCGTGCGTGCGTGCGTGTGTGTGTTTGTGTGTGTGTGTGTGTGTTTAAATAACCCTGGGGATTCACTTTAAATAACGCTGGGGATTCACTTGGCTTGACTCTGAATGATACCTTTGATAAGCTCCAGAAAATTCTCAGTCATTATTTCTTAAATGCTAACCCTTCTCTTTTCCAAGCACTTACTAATCTTCTGCATCTAACCTTCCAATTTATTAATATTTTCATTAGTTACTCCAAGTTTGCTTTTTGATCTTTATTTTCTCTGTGCATATAGATTATATTCAGTTTATACTATGAAAAGTAATATTAAAAACTGGTTTCACCCATGTATTTGCAGTTTTAATGAACATATCTTTCCTTTTTTAGAACTGTAAATAATGTCTTTTCCTCTTGTTATAAACACAACTTAGCACTTTTCAAAAATTTTTACAGTCTTTTTTTTCTCTTAGAGTTTCTTTTTTGTATTTGTTTATTTATCTTTTAAAATGCCTGTAGTCTGACATTATTCTATATTGTAAAATTCTTGGAGCTTTAATTCTCCCGTTTTTAGATCTGTTGGTTCTTGCTCACCTGCTTTCTGGTGGGTTTTTTGGGGGGGGGCGGGGTTTGGTACCAGGAATCAAACTTGACCCCTTGCTTGCAGGCAGGCACCATGCTGCTAAGCCACATCCCCAGCCCTTCCTAGTGGAGTTTTAAGTTAGAGACTTTAAGCTCATTTCCCACTAGGCTTTACCTGGGAGGATTCTGTACAGTTTGGACAAGGAAATATTCCCTATGATGGATGGGATATTTTGCAGCAAAAGGACTCAGAAGCTACCTTAAAGATGCTTCCAGAGTCAGTGTCTCTCATTCATGTTGGAACTTAGGTCACTGAGCAAGAAAACAACACCCTGTCCTCCCTGGTAAAGTGGCCGTGGCGTGAGCAAGCAGCCAGTCAGTGAGCCAGGAAGAGACCCAGTCAGCGTCTCCCACAAGCCTACTGGTGAGGGGGCTGAGAATCAACCATCCCATCCCTCCCCCTCCCTTCCCCCGTTAGCAACTGGGGGCCAGAAGTCTGAGCATCTCTTGGGAGGATGACCCTATGCAATATAGCAAATATGGGGGATTTCCTTCTATCTTCTCTTTGAAGGCAAATATTGTTTTCACTGTTTTACTTTGGTCTGAGTAATTGTTTTGTTCTATTCAATATTTTGTTTTGATAGGTTTTGTAATGTTCTGTTTTTGGTTTGATTTCACTATACCTAACTGACTGGACAACTATTGTGAAGATAATGAGATATACTATGGTACCCATTACTGTTATCCAGGTATCCTACTCTGAAGCTCTATACCAATTTCACTGCACTGTCTTGATTGGCTTTGTTCTGTTGTATTTTTAACCTTCAAAATTTAAAAGAAAGGATCTTTCCACTCAGAAAAACTGGAACAACCTGAGCTTCTATAAGACTAACACCTGTAATTTATGACAATGTATCATATATGTTTAAAGACATGAATCATGATACTTTTAAGAACCTTTATTTTTATACTATTTCTATTAGTCATTTTTGCCTACCCTATGCCAAAACTGTAGTCGATAAGAATTATTACTTTATAGAAGTATTTTAGTTAGCAGATGAATGATAGAATAAGAAATCATTTTGCAACTTCAAATAATATAACCAATCTTCAACGACTGTCAAAGTCACAAAAATGGAAACAAGTAAAAAATAATGTGTGTTCAAATGGAAATACCGAGTCCCACTATGTTACGGTTTAAATAGAGAATATGCCACATGGAGTTGTGGAAGGTGATTGTATTAGGCTAAACCAAGGCACAGCTGAGACTACTGAGGCAGGCAAAGTTGAAGCAATGTGTGAGGACTTTATTGCCAACTGGGTGCAGTCAGGCCAAGGGCAAAAAGACTGCTGGCCCTGAGCAAGGGGTGAGGGCATGTTCTTATACAGGGTTTTAGGTAGGCGAGGCACATACTGCAGTGGGGGGTGCAAATTTTGGGTCTCTGAGTAGGGGGTCTAAGTCTAGTGATGGACAGGGTGTAGCAGATGCTGGCAGGCACAGCATATCTCTTGTGGTTTTTGATGAAACCAACTCTTTGCAAGTTGAGCTATGTGGCAACAGCTGCTGGCTTCCTGTTGAACATCATGCACCCCCAGGTGTGAATAACACACCTCTTTGGGGAATTTTTCTCTCCTAGTTGTGTAGGGGTCTAGTTCAGAGACCTGACAGACTGGATCATGGGACCTCAATACTCATCAGTGGATTGAATGATTGGGTGATTGATTGATTGATTGACTAATGACATCACAGCTAAATGAAGGTGAAGCCTGTCTGGCAGAGGTGTGTCACTGGGCATGTACCTCTGAAGGGTGGATCTCTCTCTCCAGCTCCTCCCTTCTCTCTGCTTCCTGGCTGCCATGAAGTGAGCAGCTTTCCTCCGCATGCCCTTCTGCCATTTCAGCCTTAAAGCCAGCTGACCACTGACTAAAACCCCAAAACTTAAGCCAAATTAAACCTCGCTTCCTTTAATCTGTGGATGTCAGCTATTTTGTCCCAGAATGAGAAAGCTGATAAACCCTGTAATTAGTGTCAAAGTGTAACACACGTTCACTACATAGGAGACTATGGTGACTAGATAATTCAGGTTACTTTTACAAAGCAGTCCATATAAAAAAGGGACAGTCTTTGAGACTGAATCATTTTACTCTAACATGAAACTACACAATTAAAAATATATACAGAGATCCGATATTCTGAAAATTATTTGAGTGCACAAAATTTTAACGCACTTCCTTTATGTGCTTCATGGGTAACAACTGTGTCTATCCATTCATTGAGTAATCAAATGGTGCCCCAAGGCACTTCAATGACAACTTCCTATTATCACTGATTCTGTCCCTACTTATAGAAGTAATCTTAGCCTTAAATGACCTCATACAGATAAACAGATTAAGAAGCTTTAAAATACTATAAACATCAGCTCTTCTTCACTTAAGGATTCATTTTGGGAACAACAAAATAGCATCCAGATTTTCTATGAATCCAATAGTAATGAAACAAGAGCGGTCTATTTCTCAGTCATAAGGGACACAGATGGGAAGTAGCCAGGCCTTTGCTGAGAAATAAAATCAGACTTTCAAAAGAGAAGTTCCTAGAAAAGCTCATTATAAATGTCCTCTATCCTTATTGATAACAATCAATTTTGTTAGCTCCTTCCTATAAATAACGTGGGACCTAAGCATTTTAATTAAAAGTCACTGAATCCTCGATGCCATTTGTTTCTGGTACATTTAGTTCCTGGGCCCTTGTGTGAAAAGGTTGGGATGAAAGGCAGAGTGTTACCATCTGAACGGAAATCAAGCATGAGAACTGATTATAAACCCGGGTGAGCTGGAAATGGAATAAACAGTCACTATCCCCTAAACAGGAAACCACTAATGAGATTTTTTTAACTCAGCATAAATGCCTCCTAAACTGCATGTTAATACATAGCCTCACTGTATATTGGCTTAATTTTCCTGATTCAAAAGGATGTGTTGGCTGGATATGTCCTTGCAAGCTTAATTGTGCTGAGTATCCTACAAGAATGGTTGTATTGAAATACAAATAACAATGCTGTGAGCCATCTTTTATGCCTGCAGTGGCTGAAAGTTGGCATTTCTAAATTATTATTTTTTACTTTCTCTTGTCTTGGCCTTGGGAATATAAAAAAAAAAGGCCAAAACTGATTCCCAGGTCAGACAAACAAATAAATCTGTACTAAACACAAAGTCCTTGCATCAGTGTGACAATGTATTAAGAAACCCCAACAGTCAAACTGTCCTCAGTCAGGACATGGGGTCAACAAGCCTCAGAGTTGACACCAGGTCACTGAAAACACTTTTGGCAATTACATTATCCAGGACAGCATGGCCTACTTTTGACAACTACATCATTTGAGGAGAGAAGTCAGAAGGATCTAAAGGGAGCCCAACAAGGACATACATAAAAGAACACAGAGAAAAGTAAAAGTAAAGTGGGAAAACTGTTTGCTTGGTAGAAATGCAACACAGGAAGTCTACAGCACTTGAAGATATAAGCCTAAACATTTCCTCCTGACACAACAAAATTCTATCCACCAACATGAACTGATAGCCAATTAGACATACTCAGAGCTGATGTGGGTGGGGGGGGATATTTATAAATCATTGTGTCCTTGGTAGTTTTTAGTTAGAACAGCCTTCTTCTAGGATCTTCCAGACTCCAGAATGATAGTAGCTGCTTGATTTTGAATCTCTACCACATATTACTCCCACCTCCACCCAACTCACAGAAAAGCAAAATCAATAGTGACAATAAATAAAACCTCACCTGACTTGGATTTTCAGCATATCTGGAAGACAAAACATGATGACCTTCAAGTTATCTGTAAGTAGAGGGGGAAAATTCTATAGTTATTACTACTTGCTTATCATAGCAAACCAGTAAACTGGGAGACGTTTAAGAAATTTCAGTAAAGAATAAAGAAGAGCAAAGGATTTAGACAAGGCAGAAGCACTTCCAGAAAGTTCAGGTCCAACATCACATGCCAAAATGCTGAATATGGACCTGTCTGACTTCAACAAACACATCTCTTTTTATATGGAAGGAGCCTGAAAGTGTGACACCAGAGGGACAGCCCCAGGAAGAATTGTTTTTGGGGAGACATTATTATTATTATTATTATTATTATTACTATTATTATAGATAGCTAAATGAGAAATATTATAGGCAATCAGACAGGGAAAATTTACAAACAAGCATCATTAAGGTAACGTCAGTGCAAAAGACACATGAGACTGTGGATGGAGGCACATTCCTTAAAAGCCAGACCTCAAGACAAAAGATAAAATGAATATACCTACATACTTTCCCTAGGGATAAACAATAATGATTGATATTCTACATAGGCATCAATCACCTGGCTATGAGGCCAGGAAGAGTGCTGATCCCATCCTTCCCAGACAAGTTCCTTGCTCTTTCCTGTACACTTGCTAGCTTTCCCATTAGATCAATGTTACCTAAACTTATAATCCTAGACTATACTTATAATCTTATTAGTTGACGTAGTTTCATTTCACCTCACACTCACCTCCTAATGTTGCTCTATAAAGCTTTCGCTTAAAAGTGGGGTGCATGACAACCCACTTTCTGGGTCCCCTTCTGTCTCTCCTAGACAGAAGCTTTCTTTCTCCCAAGAAATATTTCCTGCTCTTTGACACAGCCCTGCTCCTCAAGATTTCTCTCCTACTAGGTTGTCCATTCAGCCTATCTGTCAAGCAGAAAAAAACCATAAGAACTGGGGCCCATTTCCCCTTTTTATTTTTTTATAATAACTAAAAGATAGAAATGTAAGGTTTGAATCAGACCTGACTCCCCCAGCCCTCTACCTGCTTGCTAGGAGAGGTACTACTCTCTGCAGGGAACTCAGGTCAGTACAAAAGTTGTCATCAGCAAGCACAGAATGTCATCAAGGAGTTAAGATAGGACAAAGAACTGTGCAGGTCCTGGGGGCATCTAGGGACATCTGGAGACACCCAAAAATTTACACCGGACACTTCAAGAAATGAGGTGCAAGGCTGCCATAGATGTTTATTACAATCTTCCCACCTAATGCCCCCTGCCTTCTCTCCATCCTTGTAAAAGGAGCACATTTCTCTTTGTTCATGACAGATGACCTTATCACTGTCTGCCTGCCTGCACCCAGGCACAATAAATTCCATGCCATGTTGCCTTTACACAAGCCTGGTAGTCTCAGCTGATCTCTCCCCTACCATCAGTATGTTACACTCATAGCTTAACACTTTGTGGAATTATGTTCTGAGCCTCAAAAGTATTCTATGTCATTTCTTCAACTCTACAGTAAGGCACAATTATTCAGATAAATAAAGCCTGTTAAGTAGAAATCTCCTAGATAAGTGTGCAGAAATATCCAGAACCTTAACACAGATTGAGGGAGATAATTTAACAAACAATGTGAAAAAAAAACTCAAGACTCAAGATCAGTGATAGCTGAAATTAAACCATTAGACATTGTTTCATATTGGCTTCACTTGAAGATTTAGGAAAGCTTCTATTTGAGAACTTTCTCAACAGTCTCTTACTTTAAGTACCCTGCCCTTTCACAGTGTGTTTGTAAGCTCCATCCTTCTTAGCTCACTCTGGGTCATCTTCTCATTGTAGTTAAAGACTGATGAGTTGCTTCCTGGTTTGGTCCCACCAGGGTTCTCGCTGAAATTACTAGTCCTTTGAGGTCACCAGAGTAGGTGGTCTGCCTGCCCTCTACCAAGCACTTCTTTACCTCTGCCTATTGTAGAAAACCTTTGACCTTCTGAAATTATAAACAAGCATCATCAAGGTCCTCAATGCTCAAGAGCTACACAATGGCTTCTGGATTCCCTAAAGCACAGACCATAGGGAACTAAGATCTATCATTTAGTCATCTCCCTTAACCATTCCTTGTCTACCATCTTTATACATTATAGACAGAAGTGCCAGCTCAAATTCTGGGCTTCTCTGTGGGATTTACAATGCTTTGGACCATGTGTGAGGGAAGCAAGGCACTAGGTCATGGTTTACATTTAAAGTTTTTATCATTATATCCACCAACCCACACCATCTTCAGTGTCTGATACCACAGAGAGGAGGGAAAGTCATCTGCATGTGAACTTTGCCTCTCACACCATCCTCTCTCACATCTTACATCCAATACCAAGTCTTTGCATTTCCTTTTCCCTCCAGGAAGTAAGTTCCTTATGTCACAGTCTCCTCTTTTCCTCATTTCAAAGTCTTAGTCTCATCCTAAAAGAGAAAACATTAGAAGAAAAGAAACAATTAACAAATCATGAAAATGCAAAAGAGTTATTTAAAGATATTATCTCTGTTATAAACATAAAATATCAAGCCATCCAAGGGGCTTGTGTTAAATACTAATTAAGGTGCCAGAAGGGTTTAGAAGAGTTCCAGGGAAAAGCAATTGTCAGTGCTTAGGTAGTTCAGGAAGGTGACATAAAGTATATGGGCTTTTCAAGCCAGGCTTTGAAAAGTTCATATTACTCAGACAAGCAGGGAAACTGGAGCTGGCATTCCAGGTGGAAAAGTGAGGTGAACAACAAAGTGGCACGTTCACCAGCTTGGATGAACCAAAGGGTTTGTTTAAGGGGAAAATGCAAGAGAAGGTGAGAGAAGGCATTGACACCAGGTTAATGCCGGACTTTGAATGCCAAACTAGACACTATCAGCTGGGCGTGGTGGCGCATGCCTGTAATCCCAGTACTCGGGAGGCTAAGGCAAGTGGATCCTTGCAAGTTTGAGACCAGCCTAGGCTACAAAGTAAGCTCAAGCAGCCTGAACTGCATAGTGAGAACCTGCCTCAAAAAAAAACTAGACACTATCATAAATGCTTCCTTTTACATCCTCAAAAATAACCAGTTGGGTAATAATTCCTGTGTTATCACTATGTACATAAGAACCCAGAAGCTCCAAGAGAGTAAGTGACTTGTGTAAGACCAAACAGCCAGTTACTTGCAAAACCTCTATTTATCAAGTCTGAGTTACCAGATAGATAAGCTTACAGTTGACCAACACTCATCTTCCTGATGGGGAAAGGGCTGCTGTCCATACAGAAGGTATTTTCAGCCTTACATCATACCACAATGATATTTGGATACCCATGTTTATAGCCACATAATTGATAATAGCTAAATCCTCAGAACAGCCCATATGCCCACCAACAGATGAATGGATAAAGAAAATATGATTTTAGGGCCGTGGATTTAGCTCAGTGGCATAAGCGCCTGCCTGGCAAGCACAAGGCTGTGAGTTCAATCCCAAGTACCAAGAAAAAAAAAAGAAAGAAGAAAGAAAATATGGTTTTTATATATAATGGAATATCACTCTGCCATAAAGAAAGACAAACTTGAATCATTTGTAGGTAAATGAATACAATTTAAGACTATAATCTTAAGTGAAATAAACTGGACACACAAGTTTAAATACCATATTGTTTCTCTGATATGAGGAACAAGGGTAAATAAGGAGCATAACAAAGGATAAACACTGGGAAGTAGGAAGGACATGCTCAAATGGGAAGGGGAAAAAATGGAAGGGAAGAAAGAAAAAAGAATGGAAGGAACACCTTAGGAACATTTTTTTTGTAATTGAGAATGGACAGACAGAGGGTTGAAGGGAGAGGAGGAGAATGAGAAAAAAAATTAAGATATATTATATATGGGTAGAAATTCCCTATGATGAATACAATCAATAGTGTATGACAAATATGTACTAATTTAAAAAATAAGAAATAACGAGATGGAAGTAGATGGAATGGAAAAAAAGGATAAAAAAAGAATTACAATGTGTTATGTACATGTACTAATTCCACACAATGAATGTAAACATTACATACTAGTAAAGAAAATTTAAGTTAAAAAAAAGACACTTTAAGACTCACCAACACACACAGTCCCTCTAAGGGCAGTATAAGATTTTTGTCAGTTTGAGCTTCATGTGTATGTTGTAGGCATGATAGATACTATTATTATCAACAATTGAAGCCAAATTTAATTCTCCCCTCAATATCCCCCAGGATGTAGTTAAAATCTTTTCCTGCATGTCACAGGCTCTGAAACCATGACCATGTGAGGTAAAATCATTGCTCTTACAAGCTCCATTCAACTTACTTTGAAATGTTATTAAAAATTTCTCCTGTCAGAGTGCAGATTCTGGAAATGAGACAGGATAAAGAGGCACTGAGGGAATTTATGTGCAATCATTGCTGTAGCCTATGGACAAATTTAAGACAGAGAGCTCAGTGCAGGCAAAGCATCTGTGCAGATGATAAATACGAGGATACAGGAGAACTAACCAGCACCTGGATGGTGGGTTACATGCTCAGAAGGAGCCCAGCTAAAACACACTCCTAATCTCCACTCTACCTTTCAATACCCCTACACTGGATAAGACTCTCAGTGTGATCCTCCTCTTCAGCATCTTCACTTTGAAACTGATACAGATCTAGGAGCCCTTGAGGTGATAACATTCTAAATTTTCCCTAACCTAATTACAGCTAGTACATCACAATTAGGTTAAGTGTATCATCCTTCGATACTAATCAATCTCCTGCCTCGAGGTGTGGATTTTCTATTCACATTTCTATCATTCCCTTGTCAGTACCTATTTTTAGCTTTTTCAGTGGAACTCCTCTCAGAAAATGGGGCCGAATTCTCAATTGACTCTATCTTAATGGACAATATGTTCTCCTTTTTAAAATGCCCATTTATTCATTTTAATCATAACTACAAGAATAAACCCTCACTTCCATGCACCAATGGATTTGAGACAGTGAGCAAAGTGCACTAAATATCAGTAATTTAAACAAATATTCACAGTGAGATTCTGCCTTGGAGTGCCACTTAAAGAAGGGAATTCTAGTCATGAGGGCTTGTGTGAAGACACTGCCGTGCCTGGAGCTCCCTCCAGCTCCCACATTCTGTGAGGCACTCCAGCACACTCAGGTTTGACACAGTGCTGCCTCAGCATTTATTTGTTTTCTGTACTAGACTCTCATGCAAATGAGCCCCTTTCCAATTCATGTCCCCAAGAAAATTCTGAACATTTTGTTCAATAGCTACCACTTGAGTTTCTATTTAATGTCAATTCCTCTGGACAGATGGTCCTCAAAAACATTTCCACATCTTTGGATCTTTGCACATGTTTTATCTTAATGTCCAAGGCACTGCCTTCCAAGAATTTATATCCTAGGAAGCCTTCCATAAATCTCCCCAGAGAAATACAAATATTTCTCTGTGTTCTAATCATACGTTACACATAGAGCAGTTGCTCCTTATCCTCAACTCTGTAGTTTCAACTGGCAATGGCAACAGTCTGAAAATAGTATTAAATAGAAATTTCCAGAAATAATTCAGAAATTTTAAATTGTGTGTCATTCAGGGCAGTGTGATAAAACCTCACAGTGTCATTTTGTACCACCTAATATATAAATTATACAGCTTATCTACACTATATATATGCACTACCCACTCACTAATCACTTTAGTTCATATCCGTCATTAGACTGTCCCACTATTATGGCTTGTATTTAGATATTCCTGCAAAAGCCACATGTGATCATAGGTGGGGCCTTTTGGAGGTGGCTAGATCTAAGGTGCGTGACGCTGGGATTACAGACCAACTGAACGATATAAGTGGTACCTCGCCTAAGGCTGAGTAACATGGATAAGATAGAAGGGACAGAAAGATGGTCTCTGCTTACTACTTTGCTGCTTTGGTGCCTTCCTGCCTTCTGCCCTCCATGAACTGTTTCTCCTCTGTGATACCCCACTGCTATGCCAGCCTGCCTTGAGTCAGACAACTATGAACTGAAACTTCTACAAACTGTGAGCTACAATAAACTTTTCTTCTTTAACTTTGTATTTTGTCTCAGCAAAGAGAAAACTAAGACACCCAGTAACACGGTGTGCACGTTCAAGTAGCTCTTGTATATAATCCTGAATCGTGAGAGTAATGATAGTGTCAATTCAGATATGCCAAAGAGGAGTCAGAATGCTTCCTTTTAGTGAAAAACTAAAGATACAATAAGATCTTTTAAAGAAAGAGGCCATATTTACATACCTTCTCTATAGTATATTGTTATAACTGTTCTAGTATATTGTTGTTGCCATGAATCTCTTACTGTGCCTACTTTGTAAACTTTAACATGGGTATTGTATTATAAGAAAAACACACCATGTGTAGAGTTTGATACTATTTATAGTTTCAGGTATCCACTGAGATCTTAGAACTTCTCCCTTGAGAATAAAGAGGGACTATTATACCATCAACCTTTAAAGTAATCTTCACACTGGATTAGAATTGTTTACAAGTCCATTTCAAGAGATAAGCTGAGATTCGGCACATACAGGATGATATGGCCTGGAGACATCAAGAGATATTGAGGTGCTTGAGAACAGGAGCTGTGTTAGTCAGGATTACCAGGGAAATGGAGGCAATGGAATGTACATAAACAGAAGATCCTTGACTTATGATGGAGTTACATTCCAACAAACTCATTCTAAGTTAAAAATACCATAAGTCAAAAATGAATTTAGCTGAGTGTGGTAGCATGGGCCTGTAATACTAGCACTCCAGGAGGCTAAGGCAAGATCACTTCCAACTCGGAGGCCAGACTGGATTGCGCAGTGAAACCTTGTCTCAAAAAGATGAAAAAAAAATCGAATTTAACACACCTAACCTTCCAAACATCATAGGCGAGCAATTAAGTACACTGATACTGTACACCGTATACTGTGGCAGTTGTTCAATCCTTGTGAGACAGTGTGGCTGATTGGAACCTGCAGCTCACTGCTGCTGCCCATCACTGCATGATAATACTGTACCACGTATTGCCAACCTAGGAAAAGACCATACACCAAAATTCAAAGTAAAATTTCTACTGAATGTGTATCACTTTCACCACTGTGAAGCTGAAAATTTGTATGTTTAATTATCATTAAATCAGAGACTGCATATATGCATAATGGTTGTGTTGATTTATTTTAAGGAACTGGCTCACACAATTTTGAAGACTTGGTGAGTCCAGGTGGAGATTCAGGAAAGAGGTAAAGTTCAAATTCAAAGGTAGTCATCTAACAGAACCCCCTATCGCCCATGAAGTTTCATTCTTTTGCTGGATAGGAATCTTGAACTATTGGATGAGGCCTACTTACATTATGGAGGGCAGTCTGTTTTCCTCTAAGTCTATTGACTGAAATGTAAATCTTATCCAAAAACAGTATCACAGAAATATCTGGGTATGGTGGTTCAGCCAAGCTGACACATAAAATTAACCATAATAGAGAAACTGTCCAATTTGCCTTTGACATTGTTAGCATTGTGCAAAGAATACACGGAGTGTTTATTGAAGGAATTATGTCCAGTGAATATAGAAGCTACACTGGAAACTTGATACATCCAGTCAGTGTGCCTTATACATTTTCTGTTTGTTTATTTCTCATTATAAAAACAAGAAATCCTTAAAAGAGTGGCAATGTTCTATTTAGTGAGTGATGAAAAATATAAACCCTTTGGCAATAATGTTAAGAAAAAAATGCCATGAAAAGAAAAATAATCCTCTGACCTAGACTTAGAAAGTGCTCTTTTCTGGGACTTTTATAGAGCAAAACCACTTTTTATCCCCCAGTGACTAGCACAGTGCTTAGGACATTTTCTAAGGAAAGAATAAGTGGATAGATGGATGGATGAAAATCTGCAGTGAGTACAATCAGGACTATGTGATAAGTATTTTCATCATTCTATCATATCTTTATTTCCCCTAATTACTGATGGTAGCACTGGCATTTAACTGTAAGACTCAGGACATTTCAGAATTCTGCAGTTGCATCCATTACAGTCAGATTGAGTAAGGTGGCTTGTGTATATAGAAGTCAGATGAAGTAAGGGGGCATCAAGTAGAAACTGTGATTAGCTTTTAATGAGGCAGTTTTGAATATCAAGTTGCTTTGCCTTTTCATTAGCAATCTTCATAACTGTTTGATGTTCCCATAAAGTCAAGATTGTAAGCTTGAGATGAATCATTTATACCTTAGTTTCCTGTTGAGTGGAGATTATTAATTGCATCCTTTCTCATCAGGGCTTTCTGAATAACTGCAGCCTTTATTTTTAGCTCATTCTATGTTGCCGGCTTCCATTTCAACAAAGTCCACTTTATTCTTGTCAGGGGATTTGAAGTTAAATCTCAGGCAAAAGAAAGGAAAATCTTAAAAACTGAGTCAACAATCTTGTTGGACAGTTTCAATACTCCAACTGGAAAAAAAAGGTAGCCATGGGGCCTACAAACCCATCCCACAGCCCAGTGAGCCTTTCCTGAGCCGAAGTGAGGAGCCTGCCTTGCAGAAACCTCAACAAGCATTTGTGCTGTGTAGTGCCAAGACACCACCTACCCTATCATTTTCAGATTGTGAGTGCCTGCCCCTAGAGAAGAGTTACCAGTAATAATCTATTTATAATTGCTTTATTTATACTAATTTATAAAGTGTGTGCACTTCTAAGCATGAATATTTCTACTTAAAAGGTACAAAATAGTCATACTAATTATAGCAATAGAGATTAAATAGCTTCTGTTAGTTCATTTCAGGCTTTGCTTCCAAATGAGTTGTGGAGTCAGTTAGTTTTTGGAGTTTAGGGACTATGGGCCTACTCAAAAATTAGTTTTCTATTCTATTTTTGGTGAAGACATTTGGTTAGTTTCCAACTTGAGATACTCTTACCTCAGTTGCCTGTGTTGATGAGATTATAGGCATGTGTCACTGCACATCACTCTTTATAAAATTTCAGTTATCAAGCAAACTCTATTTTGAAAAGAAGAAAACTTCAAAAAATTCAACAGACTAGGAATATTTAACTATCCTGGGAAATGTGGAATTTGAAAGTCTAAGAGGGAACAATCATTTAAAAATAATAAAAATAGCTCCCATTACCTGAGTGTCAACTCTGAACCAGGCCCAGAACAAGATACTTTATAAATAACAACCTAACAAATCCTTGAAAAGCCCAAAATGGTGTGTTTTATAGACACTGCCACTGAGACTCAAGCAATAATTTTACCCGCCCAAAGTTACAAAGATAGTATGTGGAAGACCTAAATTTTTTTTATTCAAAAGTTTTGTTGTTGAGAAAACAAAATGAATGAAAAGTAGTAAAGCTTTAAGAAATCAGATCAAGTTCTCCCTGTTGCAAATCTGCCCAAATATAGTTTTGTAGGGGAATCCCATTCAGTCTCCCACCTACCATGAGCTACTTAAAGGAGCCACTTCACCATCCACAGGTGAAGGAGAGTAAAATAGTAACCTTGCATCTCTGAGGATACATTTCTGAGAAGGATTTCTGATACTTCCTTATAGGTAGAAATCATCTTGTAAAACTTCCAAAGAAACTACTGAACGACAAAACTGCCTTTGACAAAATAATTAGAAGTTATATTATACAGTGAATTTTATTATTAGCACTACACAATAATTCTCCACTCCACTTTCTCTAATACACAATAATAGAATCCTAGAAGGACTTTGTCCAACATTTTAAAGGCAGAAATAAACATTAATATTGAACTGTAATAGCCTGTGCCATAAACAGAAAAATAAACTTTCACTTTCGCTTTTAAAAAAATCCTAAAACATGGTTCAGCAAACCATTTCTGAGTCACAAACCTAAACGAAAATAAGGTATCATCCTATATTAGGACTTTTTAGAAGAAAAAAATCAACAAAATATATACATAGAGAAAGATTTTTTTAAAAAAGAAGTTGTTCACGTGATGGGATGTGAGGGGAGATCCTGGCAAGTCTGAAATCTGGATGGCAGGCCAGCAGGTTAAACACCCAAGGGAGAGTTGACGTAGCAATTCTGAATCTGAATGTAGTGGGAAAGAAGAATTCCTCCTTCTTTATTGGATTTCTATCATTTCTTTTAAGCACTGTCTCTTACCTGAATTGTTAAAACAGCTCCCACAAGTCTCCTTGCCTTGAGTATCATCCTCCTATTCCATTTTAAAACCACTGAATTCATTTGCCATCTGAAAATGCTTCAGTAATTCTTCATTGTTTACTAGAGACAAGACAAACTCACTTGTAACATATATAAAGGCCCTTCATGACTTAATCTTTCCTTACGTATTCAACTCTATCTCCCACCACTTTTTCAAAGTTGTAACTGACAAATACTAAAATAATCATTACTAAATATATGTGATTTGACGTAGGTATACATTATAAAATGAGCCAATCAAGGTAATTAACATTCATCAACTAACCCACTTATTATTACTTGCATATAGATGGTAAGAACATGAAAATATATTCCAGCAATTTTGAAATGTACAATATGTCATTAGTAACACTAGATCCCATTCAGTGCAATCATTAAAATATATTCCCTCAGTCTAACTGAGACTTATTTAGCCCACCAGATCTGGACAGCTACTTGCAGGTGCCCAACGCCCCATGACAAGCTACATGCTGCTTCCTCTGCTTACAGTATCTTGTCCACGGGGAGAATGCCCACTCTTCCATTATCACAACCCAAATGTTTCTTCTTCCCCAATCATGCCCACCTGTTTTAGTTACTTTTCTCTCACTGCTGAGACAAAATAACCGACACCCAAAGTTAAAAGAATTTGTAGATGTTTCAGTCCATAATTATCTGACTCCAGGGCAGGGTTGCATATCAGAAAGGTGACAGTTCATGGTGGCAGAAGACAGCAAAAGCATGAAAAGCAAAAGGGGACAGAAACCTTTCCCTCCCTTACATTGTATGCAGGTTACCCACCCTAGGGTGCATGTAGCACTCACTCTCCCGATCTCAGCATTAGACAATGGACCAATCACAAACTCTAAATTTAGCCACCTCTGAGAAGTCCACCTCCCGTAACTGGATGAGGCTTTCAGGGACAAGCAAACACAGTAACACCACCTTTAACACTTACACTTCCTACAGTACAAACATGTTCTTTTTCTGAGTTTCCATAGTACTCAGCTCACATCAATCACTTTTCATATGTACATTAAAATATATTTATTTACATAGTTATCAGCTTTATGCATATGATCTTATTCAAGAATTGCAGTTTTGTCTTTATTCATCATTTTACTTTCAGATCAAAAGACAAAGCCCAGTGGAGTGCCCACTACTTAGCAAACACCTAATAAAGCTTTGTCATGGTCCTTTTACTTGTTTGTAAATAGATTCTTCTAGACTTAAACTTCTTAAAGAGAATTATTACCTCTCTTGGTTTACCCACTGCTTAACATAATGTCTAGTACATACAAGACATAGAAGATCTATTCCATAACAAGCACTTTAACCATTAAATTTGATCATCTCAATGTCTTTTTCTTGTACTGAAGATTTCAATGAAGTAGAAAGGTTTCTGTTGGTTAATTTTGGCAAACCAACCTTCTATTTTTGTTTGTGTATTTTTTCCTCCCTTCTTCCACCCAGGTTAGGGCTTCACCAATAGTAGATATGTGCTAAACCTGCAATTATACTTGTTGATTAAATGATGAATATGTTTTATATTTGCACATTCTTTTCTATGAACCAGAGCTTTCTTATGTCCAAACCTGTCCCTGACCTTGATGTAGTGAACTGTGGAAAATCAGGCTGAGTAAATCTATCCAATTAGGTCAACTCTGCCCAGGAGAGATGGAGTGCGTGTCTCTTGTGATTATCCTGTACATATCTCGGGAACTCATCTCATGCACCCATACGTTCCATGAGGATTATATTTCTCCCTGATGATCAGATAAAGGATGAGGATGAGAAGAATTAGCAGGAGGAAAGCTACATCTAAAGAAGAGAGCTCCATGGATGTATCTTGGGACTAAAATAAAAATAGAGCTCAATGAGATGAACTAAGTCAAGAGAAGTCATAGTTTCATCTAAAACCAAAATGCAACAGCTGACACTGAACCAGAAAAGTCAGATATCTCTTGGGCAAGCAGCACCTTGTTCTTCACAAGAAACTTGAGTGTTTTCTCCATTTCTTAATAAACATTCTCAAATACTTATGGCTCTTGGATGATAAATAAGAAAGTAGGAAGAGCCACCTTCTCAGAAAGGACTGAAAGTCCAGAGTTGATAGAGATCCAATGCCACTGGTTTCTGATGCTAAATCTCAACCAATTAGATTGATTTGAAAATCAGTATCTTGGGAGATATTAATCATTCCCTTTATCAAAGATAAAATCTTTCTCTACTGATCCTGGGCAAGAAGCTCTCCTAGAAATGATCTAAGATGATTTTCTTTAACTTTCCTATCTCACAAAAACAGTTTTTCATTCAAGAGTTCAGCCTGCATCCTAGCATTTATCTTCATAGTTTACCATTATATTCAAAGAGCTTAAAAGTCATGTAATTCAATCCCAAATTTATAAATAGAGAAACGGAGATTCAGATGTTTCAGAGCCAGACTCAAGTCAAGATACCTGTTTTAATAAAGGACAACCATTCATTTTTATTGTTTCTTCTCCTTTCTTCTTTTATTTTTTCTTGCTTTTCCTTCCTTCCTTCCTTCCTTTAGATTTTTGTAAGTGCTCTACCACTGAGCCATATCCCCATTCCCAACCCCAACAATGTATTTTTGATATTCTACCACATCTTAAAAGATGTTGCAGAGACTAGGCTTTAAAGATCTCCTTCTTATGTATTATAGAACTGTGAACAGGTTACTTTCCTGGTCCTCAAAGTATTGTGTCTAGGCTAGCAGCCTTGACAACAAGCGAGAACTTGTCAGAAGTGAAGAATCCCATGCCTCACCTCTGATCTACTGAATCTGAGATCTCTGATGACTTACTGAATAACCTTGTAATTTGCCTGAAATTTCACAGTTGGTTGTATGGGACAACACTCAAGTCTTATATAGGCCAGTGTTTCCCAACTTGTTAACCAGGTTTATTCTATTATTTAAGCTAATCTCTTTTGATTTGGTTCAAAACTATTCACTCTTATCCTGCCACATGTTACAAATATTTGGTAATTCCTTTTTAAATCTAGCCCTGCCCTTCACCCAGATATTTTCCAATCAGTTCAACCCCATGAACCTCAGAGTCTACCACCTTTGAGTGGGAAGAGGTGAACCAAGTGTGCTATGCTCACTCCATTGAGGGATAGGGCCCCAAAGGGGGCAGCCTTGAATTGTAAGCATCCTGTGATAATAATCATGTAGGTCTTTGTCTCCAAGCAACACAGAGCACAGGGAGTAATTATAGGCTCTTCCTATGGTGCTCAACAATCTACTGTCTCACAAGGACAGCAGGAAAGAATATAATTAATAAGGCTCAGAAAAGCTAAACGATTTTTCCAAAGTTACAAGGCTAGTGAGTAGGGCTGGGACTAGAACCTGAACCACGTATTTTTCCCAGGCATCCTCTCACACACATTAAAAAAGAAAGCTCAGGACAATCATGCCTTTAGCTATTCTTAGAAATGCTCTGATCATCAATGTTTTCATGGGGATAAACTAACGGTCAGCTGAGAACAAGACTGGTACACAAAACCACTGCATCTTGGGAAAGTATGGGAAAAGACAAGATGGCAAAAAACGTAGAAAAAGATGGCCCAAGGGCAAGTATTTCCAACTCTATCTCTTGCTAGAATGAACCAACATATTTGTAAGGGGTTTTTTTTCTTATTTTCAACTGTACTTTTAAATATAAAATTAATATTATACAATATAGTGTATTTTCATATTCTATTTTTCTTATTTCAAAGAAAATAAAATGGAATAGACAGAACAACATTGGATTTCAAAAACAAGACAAAGGAAATCTCCCATAGTCACTGTATCACATATTATTATCCTCTGAATAGATACTCAGACTATCGGCTTTAAGCCCACAAAGTCAATCAAACAATATAGGCATTAAATTGTTGTTTGTTTGGTTTTTTTTTTTTTTTTACTTCAGTAGCCTGTGTACATCTTAGCCTGTGTACCTCTGAATCAGCTGGGGGTGGAAGGGTACTCTTGTTGTCTCCCAGTCCATGCACCAGCTGTCTGGTGTGGGATGGCTTCTTGATTCTTCTGGCCCATGACTGCTGCTGGTTCATGAGAAGGCACACGATGGCTTCCTGGTTCTCATGACCCAAATGGCTGCCAATGGCTCACAGGAGAGCACAGGTTGACTTGGTTCTCCTCACAACCTGCATGGCTGCCACTGGCTCACAGGAGGGTGCATGTTGGCTTCTTGGTTCTCCTCCTAGCCCACAACTTCTGCTGGCTCACAAGAGGGCACAGATTGGCTTCTTGAATCTCCTCCTTGGCCTACTTGGCTACCCTAACTTGTAAAGTCTTTTTGCCTCTGGTCACCGATCAATTGTTCCAGAGGAATGTAAATTTTGTTTCATCAATGGCCAAAATCTTGCTGAACACAGGATAAATTCTCATACAGGTTTGATGAATAAATAATCACTAACTGTGCTAACTCCCAAGCTTGTCGTTCATGAAGTCCATTATACATGCCTTGGTTTTTCTTCCCTGCAATGTCTCCAATATCTCTGTATCCTGTGTCAGTGTGAGGGATGTGAGGGTGGGAGGCCAGACATGGCATCCTGGCCTAGCACAGAGCAAAAGCCCCTTAGGTTCTGAAACAGCAGTTTTAATTAAGCCAACCCAAGCAGTTCTATTGGTCATTCCCCTTAGACATACCAGGTGGATATGTGGCCAGAGCCACACAGACACAAACACACACACACACACAATCAATCAATCAATATCGATTTATTACCATCCATTATAATAAACTTGCCTTAAATGACAGCCCATAAGCCAAATTCTGATCAATCCTGGATATATCTGAGATATCAAAGAATACCAAGTAGTATTCATCTCTCCAACCCTCCCTTTCCATCCCAAGAATCTTTACCCTTATCCCATCCTTTATTACCTTTACCAGAACTTCTACAATGTCTCTTAATCATTCTCCAGGCTTACTGGTCTATAGGCTCTTAGTCCTTCAACCTTCCTGATATCTGTTCAGAGTATCTCCCCCTTCCAATGGTGTCCACGATCCTTGTCTGCCTCTCCAGAATGATTTTTAATCATTCCTCTC